GGCGGCCGAGCCGGCGGGGCTGGCGGGGCGGCACGGCGAGCTGGAGGGCTCGGAGCCCTCGGGCAGCGGCCGGAGCAGCGCCACCCCGCAGGAGGGCGCGGGCGCCGAGGGCGAGCGCTGCCCCAGCGCCCTGTCGCGGGCGGCGGGCGAGGAGGAGCGCTCCGGGGACGAGGCGCTGCTCGCCCCGCTGCCGCTGCCCAGGAAGGGCAGCTACCTGTCCGCCTTCCGCCCGGTGGTGAAGGACGCCGAGAGCATCGCCAAGCTCTACGGCACCCGCGAGGCGTTCGGCGGCGCGGGCCCCCGCGGCCCCGGCTACCTCTCGCCGGACTTCCTGAGCGAGGGCAGCTCCAGCTACCGCTCGCTGTCCCCCGGGGGCGACACGGCCGAGGAGCCCGAGGTGGACGTGGAGTCCAACCGCTTCCCGGAGGACGAGGAGGAGGAAGCCGCCGCCGTGCCCGCCGTGGCCCGGCGAGGCGGGGGCGCAGGAGGGCGGCCAGGGCCCCGAGGGCAGCCCCGAGCGCAGCGGCAGCAGCGGCGCCTACGAGGTGCGGGGCCGGGGAGGGGGATCTGCCCTCGGGGGTCCCGCGGGGCCGGCCCGCGCTCCTGACTCGCTCTTTTGTAGGTGTTCGCGCCCGAGAGGGGGGAGCTCCTGCAGCCGCTGAAGCCCGCAGCATCCCTGGGAGCCCCCGCCGCCTTCCTCTGCACCCCCGAGGCGAAGGGTAACGCGGGCCGGGCTGCGCAGCGAGGGCTCGGCCCCGGGGGGGCCCCCGCAGGGCCGCTTTCGTTTGGGGCTTTCGGGAGAGAAGCGAAACAAACGGGATCCGGGCGGGGAACGGGGCCGGGGCCCCCCCGGGCCCGGGGAAGCCGCCGGGGCCGCGGCCGGTGCGGCGGGGATGGGCCGGCGGGGCCAAGCTCCTGCCCACAAGCTACTTTCGAACGGCAAAGCGATTAAGATGTCCGCTAAGAAGGTTTTAACGAGGGCTTTGTCCGTAATTATGTAATTAAGGATATATCAGGACCATACTTTCATTGCTTACGGTTGAAAATCGGTTTATTAACTTTAAGAGCAAGATAAAGAAGACAATCACTCCGCGGCGGAGGATTTAGAGAGCAGAAAATCCTATCAGGACCAAAGGAATGTCTCTCATCCCAGCCCTGTAAATACCGACAGAGGTAAGCACCGCTCCGCGGGGCGATGCGCGGCCCCTCCGCGGGGCCCCCCCGGCCGGGCTGACGCCGCTGTGGCTCCGCAGGCGAGGAAGGGCTGGCCATGGATGTCACCGGGACGCAGCTGCTGGAGAAGGACATCGAGAACTTGGCCCGAGGTGAGGCGGGAGAGGGGCTCGGGGTGCGGGGCGGGGGTCGCGGCACCCCCCGGCCTCTCCCCGCGGCTCGAGGTATTTGTGTTTTGTGCAGGAGTGATTAACTCCTGTGATTAATGTAACGTAATGCGATTAGCGCCGCGCTGAGCCGCCTCCAGATGGAAAAGTGCGGGCTCCCCTCAACCCCGCCGTGTATTTTTAAACAGATGAGTTACAAAAACTGGTCCTGGAGCAAATGGAGCTGAGGAAAAAGCTGGAGAGGGACTTCCAGAGCCTGAAAGGTAGCGGTGCCCCATCCCCTGCCCACGCCCCGGCCGGGCAGCGCCCCCGGCCCGGGCGCGGCGCTGACCCCCGGCCCCACAGATAACTTCCAGGACCAGATGAAGCGGGAGCTGGCGTACCGGGAGGAGATGGTGCAGCAGCTGCAGATCGTGCGAGGTAAGGCCGAGCCCATTAGTACATTTGGTTTTGGTTTTATTTATTTTATTTCCTTTTAAAAAAAAATAATTTCATTTCGTTTATTTCTGATTTTTTTTTTTGTTTGTTTGTTTGGCCGAGGGGTTTTCAGTTTATTTTTGGGGCTTGTTGTTTGTGTTTTTGTTTCTTTGGAGTTTTTTTGTTTGCGTTTTTTTTTTTTTGTTTGTTTTGTTTTTGCTTTTGTTTCATTCTGTACCTTTTCTTGCCCTCCAACTCCTCTCGCGATTCCGAGCTGCCCCGCAAACGGCTGCGAGGCATCTCTTACACGGCAGCGAACGAACCTTCCCTCCCGCAATCACTTCCACTCGGGCTAAATTAAAAATCCGAGCCGTAAAACGACTTCCCTGGCGAGCCGGGAAAGCCGTGCCCGGCTCTGCGCCCCTCGCCCCCCGTCCCCCTGCCCTGGGCTGCCCTCGGGGCGGGCTCAGCCCCGTCAGCGCCGCTCCCCCTCCGCAGACACGCTGTGCAACGAGCTGGACCAGGAGCGGAAAGCGCGCTACGCCATCCAGCAGAAGTTGAAAGGTACCGGGGCAGGGGGGGGCGGTCTCGGAGGTCCCAGGGGGACCCTCCCAGCCCGGGGGGGGCTCCGGGGGTGACGGCTCGGTCCCTTGCAGAGGCTCACGACGCGCTGCACCACTTCTCCTGCAAGATGCTGACCCCGCGGCACTGCAGCGGGAACTGCTCCTTCAAGCCGCCGCTGCTGCCCCAGTGAGCCCCCCCGGGCCCCCACCCCGAAGCCATGCGGGCAGAGCCCACACAAGCCATTCCCACGAGGAGCCACCTGTACATAGAGGACTCGGAGCCCGGCTTTGCTCGGACTGGCGCTAGGGCGGGGGGCGGCCCCCGCTCCGCCTCCCCCTCCCTCCCTGTGTGTCCGCTTCTTCCACCCTCGTCCAGACTGGAAACAAAAGTGGCTATGTGCAATGGATATAAATGTACTGTGATTCTCTTGGTACAGTATTTGTCGGATTTTTATTTATTTATGATGTATATTTATCTCCCCCCTCCCTTCCTTCCCCCCGTCCCTGTAAATTCTGGATGTAACGGCACTTTAACGGGCGGCCCGCGACTCCCGAGGCACAACAACGCTCGCCCGCTCTGGGGACAGCCCCCTCTGTACGTGATTTCGGTTCTTTAATAAAAACACACTTGAAGAAGCCGCCTGGTGCGTGGGGCTGGCCCGGGGCTCGGGGGTCCCCGGCCGGGCAGGCGGCGGGAGGGGCGTGCCGGTGCCGGTGCCGGTGCCGGTGCCCGCTCCCCCGCCGGGCTCCCCGCTCCTCCCCGCGCAGCCGGAGCTCATTAATGCCCATTTATATGCTCGTTTCACACATGAAGGTATCGCATTAATGAGCTCGGAGAGCGGGCGCGGAGGTGCGCGCACACCTATTAGCCCGAAATAGCCGCTTTTTAGCCCAGAAATAACCGGGCACCGCAGCGGGGCCGGGATGAGGAACGGGACCGGCAGAGGGGCGGGGTGGGGTGAGACGGCCCCGGGGGAGGGCCGGGGGATGCAGCGAGCACCGCGGGACCGGGAGCGGCGGAAGGGATGCGGGCCAGGAGCATCCCGGGGCTCGGGGGGCAGCGGAGGTGCCGGGGCTGCGCTGCCCACCGCGGGGTCGCTGCGCTGCCAGCCGGCCCCGGCAGCTCGGCGGAGAAGGAGATGCTGTTAATTAGTTGCCGGGCTCATTAGGCCGTTCCGCGGCCTGGGCCGCCATCGCGTGGGCGCAGCCGGAGGTGCAGCTCCCGCTTCTCCCCCTGATTCCGACCTCGGGAGCAGCTGAGCGGGAGCAGCATCGCCCACCCAGCCCTGAGGAGGAGGAGGAGGAGGAGGAGGAGGAGGAGGAGGAGGCCCCTCCCAGCCAGGGTTGGGTGGGATGAAGGTTGAAAACCCTCGGGGGCAGAGGGCAGATGAGGTTTTTGGGTGTCTGGGTTTCAGAGAACGCTTTCAAGGCTTCTGTGCCCCATCCATGGAGTGCCCCAGGCCAGGCTGGACGGGGCTTGGAGCAGCCTGGGGCAGCCACGGCAGGGGCTGGAGTGGTCCAGGCCGGGCTGGACGGGGCTTGGAGTAGCCTGGGGCAGCCATGGCAGGGGCTGGAACGGGATGAGCTTCCAGGTCTCTTCCCGGCCGTTCTGGGATTCTTCCTTTGGTCACAGCCACCCTGCGCAGGACATGCCGAGTGTGACAGGAGAGCCTGCACGGCAGGGGCTGGAACGGGATGAGCTTCCAGGTCTCTTCCCGGCCGTTCTGGGATTCTTCCTTTGGTCACAGCCACCCTGCGCAGGACATGCCGAGTGTGACAGGAGAGCCTGGGCAGAGCAGGGGGCTGCTGGCACCCCCAGGCAGGTGAGTGCAGGGGGGGATCACCGTGCAGGGCACGGAGGGGATGTGTGACCCAGGGAGGTGAATTGAGGGTCTGAGTTCAGCTGAGAGGCCCTCGCTCGAGGGAATGAAACATTCGGACCCGTTTAGGGTTTGTAGAGGGGCACCAGAACCTTTCCCTTTGCATTTGGTGCCTCTCCGGGTCGCTGGTGCCACCTCACAGAAGTGGCACTGGGTGACCCCGCAGAGGAGGTGCCCTGGGTGTCTCTCCAGCCCATAATTTCATCCAGGCCCCGCTGTGCCCACCTGCCCCAGCGGTGCCTCCCACCACGGGCACAGAAATGAGCCATTAGGTTGTATTAATATTGCCCCACTACTTAGTGCTCATTAAAATGTGCTTTGCGGAATTTAATATGCGGCTTGAAATGACACAACGTATTAAGTGCTTAATATACTAGAAATTATGAAACTATTACAGTCTAAGTAATATGAAATAATTAGAGTGAATTAAACTTCACTGGCAGAATGAGGGAAAGGCTTCAAAATTTTTATAGGTTTTTTTTAAAATTATTTTTTGTAGTTGTTTAGTCTCAAAATAGTTGAACGTGATAACAGCCCCTGAAAATAAACAGCCGGAGCCAGGATTTTTAAATAATTAAAGCAGGAAGGAGCCTGGAGTTGCCTGTGTGTGAGGAATTAGGAATGGAGGGAAGCAGAAGGTCTGCTGGCCGCAGCGGATGGAGCTGCTCTTTCGGGCCGGTGGCGGAGCAGAGCCGAGGAGCCGCTGGCAGCCCCGAGCCTGGCCCGGGCTGGTCCATATGGTCCATATGCCGGTGCCCCGGTGCCCCGCCGGTGCCGCTCGCCCGGTGCCGCTCCCCCGGTGCCGCTCCCCCCCGGTGCCCCGCCGGTGCCGCTCCCCCGGTGCCCCGCCGGAGCCGCTCCCCCGGTGCCCCGCCGGTGCCGCTCCCCGGTCCCCCGCTGCCCCTCGTGCCCCGCCGGCCGCAGCGCGGTGGCTCTGGGGACAGAGCGGAGCTGGCAGCGCCCCGCGCAGAGCAGCTCCCGCCTCGGGGGTGCGGACACCGGAGAACCCCCCCCGGAAAACCCCCGCAGGGATTTTCCCCTTTGGGAAGCGCTCGGAGCCACCGCGCGGGTGCTGGGGTTGAATTCCGGGGGTTATTCCCGGGGCCGGGGATGCCCTCAGGAGCGTGTCCAGCAGCGATGCCAAATGCCAGCTTTAAACAGGGGGTGGGAATGGATGGGATTGGATGGGAATGTGCCACTGGGCACCGAGCGTGTCCCACATCTCTGCTGCTCCCCGTGTGGATGAGTTTTAGATGGGATATTGGGATGGAATTGTGCCCTGGGATGGTGGGGAGGGCTGGGAACGAATTCCCAGAGCAGCTGCTGCTGCCCCTGGATCCCTGGCAGTGCCCAAGGCAGGATGGAGCACCCTGGGACGGTGGCAGGTGTCCCTGCCCGTGGCAGGGGTGGCACTGGAAGGGCTCTAAGCTCCATCCCAGCCCGATCCCCGATTCCAGGCAGGCGCCAGGAGGTGGCGGCCGCAGCCCCGCGCTGCCCTCCGGAGCCGCTTCCAGCGGAGCTTCCGCGCTCCTGCCCCGGGAAGTGCCCGGGCTGTCCCGGGAGGGGCACAGGCTGCTCCCAGCCAGGGCAGGACGCGACATCTGCCCTCCCGAGGTGCCCGTCCCCGTCCCTCGGATGTCCCAGCGCTGCTCGCAGCTCGCTGTCCCCGCACCAGGGCGGCAGGCAAGGACAGCAGCGATCCCGCTGCCAGCTGGACTTTGTGCCCCGGCCACTTCTGTTCCTCTGTCGAGTCCCCAAATCGGCGCTTTGGCCACGAGGATCCTGCGGGCGCTGTGCCCAAGCCCTGCCAGCGCCAAGGTAAATAAACGCCGATGTCCCTTCTGCCACCCCCGAGCGCCTCAGGAGCGATCCGCGCCCGGGGGGCGGCACTGGCTGTCCCCAGCACCGGCCCCTTGGGAATGCATTCCAGCAGGATCTGCTCCATCACCTTCCCAGGGCCTCCTCTGGGCATCCTCCTCCTCTCCCACACCGGGGGCGTTTTCCCAGCCCAGCGCTGCTGTGACCCTTTGGGGATGATCCCGTGGTCCCACAGGGATGCTGGCAGGATCCTGGATGTGTTTGTCCAGGGTCTGAGGAGAACCTGGAGGGTTCAGGTGTGACCAAAATGATCCCGTGGTCCCACAGGGATGCTGGCAGGATCCTGCCCACCCTGAATTGTCCAGGATCTGAAGGGTTCAGCTGTGACCAAAATGTGCCGTGAGCTGTTGGCTGCCTGCAAATCCAGAAAGTTTTTTTCTTGGGGAAAATCCCAGCTGTCTCAGGGTCTGGCTGAGGACAAGGTGATGTTTTGTCCTTGCCTGGCTGGAGGTTCCTCCTGCCTTCTCTTCATTTTTTTTTGGAAAACACATTTGAGTAACGATGTGTGTAGCTGGTGTCCTTTGGGTTGAAATCTGGCGTTTTAGGGGTGAGTGTGAGCAGGACAGCGAGGAGCTGTGCATGAACAGGGGTGTCCACGTGTGAGGAGAGGTGGGTTTAATTAAATTGATTCAATTCTGGGTGCTGACATGACTTTTTGTGTGTTGCTCTGCTGTGGGAAGGGAGTGAGCAGAGCAGCCCTGCCTTGCTTACAGAATCACTTTTATTTTCACAGAGCAAAGTGAACCCCGTGATTCTCCTGGAAATTGAAACCACATTTTCCAGGGCTTTTTTTTTTGCCCCTCAAAAGCTGACAATCCCTCCCTTTGATCTCCTTTCTGACTCTTAAAAAAGTTGTGGGATCTGCTCCTTTTGGAGGGATTGTTTTGGAGATCTTGCACCTTAAGATGCAATCATAGGATTTTGCATCTTATTTGATGTTATTTTGGAGGTCTCCAGGCTGAGCAGCTCCATCTCCTCCTCCTGCCCTCACAAGGGGGTGTTTCAGTCCCCCCACCCTCACAGTCACCCCGGGCTGGCTCCAGGGGCTCCCTGTCCCTCCTGTCCCTGCAGGTCAGGGCTGAGTGGGGGCAGGATCCCCTCCCTGACCCCCTGGCACGGGTGGGAAATGCTGCAGAACTCCTGCCCAGGAGGAAAAACCCTTTGGAAGAGGCCAGGAGCACTTTTTGGGAATGCTCTGGAGCTGCCCTGGCTCTGGAATGGAGCTCAGCCTTGGGCTGGAAGGGCCATTAATGTCACCTTGCCCAGCCCTGCCTCGCAGGGGCCCTGCCAAGTCTGGCACGTTTTAATTTGCTCCTTTCCCAGGCATTCCTGGATTTATGGCTCCGCTCAGCCTGCACGGAAAGCTCCCTCCAGAGGGTCACTCCACACCACAACCTCTGTGGGCTCCCTGGAGGAAGCTGATGTGCGATTCCCTGGAAGATTTCCACCTGAACAGGGGGTTTAGGCTGGATTTTGTGGGAATTTGGGCTTTGGAAGCTGGCAGGAGATGTGTCTCTGGTGATTCTGCCTGAAGTTGGGGTTGTTACTCTGCTGCCTGCTTTGAAGGCTTCCTTGTTTTCAGGTAGGATGGATTTGGGAACATGCTAATTGTGTAAAAATGAAAGAGAAAAGGGGGGAAAAAAGGAGAAACGTGGGAGAAAATGGATTTTAGCAATGCCTGCACCAGACTGAGGAGCACATTTGGAGCTGGTTACCACCTGCAGCACGTGGCCAAAGCAAACACCACCAGCCCGTCCAGCTTTGGCTGCGTGAGTGCCATAAACCACTGCAAGGGCATCCAGACTAGCACAGCCCTGGAACCACTTCCAGGATTAGGTCTTACTCCCTTGAAAAATAAACCTTGGCAAGAGCTCCGTTCTCCCCAATAAAAATTCCGTTTTCACAGCTCTAATCAAGTTTTCCAGAGCCACGGTCCAAATGAGAAGCGGCACACAGAATCTCCGACCCGGGAGAAGGAGATGGAGCCTTGCATTTCAAGCTGTGCCAGGCTGGAAATTTCCAGAGTTCTCGGTGTCTCGCCCGTGGCAGAGCTGTGGAGTGTCCCAGGAAATCTGCTCCAGGCACAGCAAAGCTCTGCCACAACCAAATTCCTGCTGCCAGGTGGGTGAGGCTCCTCTGCAGGGCTCTTCAGGGAGAGCTGGGATTGTCCAGCCTGGAGGAGAAGAGAAGGTTCTGGAATATCTCAGAGTCCTTCCAGGGCCTGACGGGCTCCAGGAGAGCTGGAGAGGGACTGGGGATGAGGGATGGAGGGACAGGACACAGGGAATGGTTTCAGATTGGAAAATGGGAAATTTGGGAAGGAATTGTTCCCTGGGAGGGTGGGGAGGGGCTGGGATGGAATTCTTAGAGGAGCTGGGGCTGCCCCTGGATGTTCCCAAGACCAGGCTGGACACTGGGGCTCGGAGCCTGGGATGGTGGAAGGAGTCTCTGCCCATGGAACTGGCCAGTTGCAGAATTCCATGATTCCGTGAACATGTCCATTGTGTGTGTCTGTGAGAGGAGGATCCACACCACGCTGGGTCTTCGTGTCTGAAGATGTTCAGAGACAAAAACCCCGGGTGAGGCTGGGGCTGAAGTGCTCAGGTGGGCTCCCAGCTGTGGCAGCACGCCGGATTCTGTGGCACCAGGACGTTCCAGAACACCTTTCATGGAGCTCTGGGCAGGAGAACAAGGTGTAAAAATAACAGATGTGGTAAATCAGAACCTCGCTCTGAGAGCTCGCCGCAGCTCGGTTTTGTGAAAACAAGAGGCTGGGTTTAAATTGCTTTGGGTTTTTTTGGGGTTTTTTTTTTTTTTTTTTTCCTCCAAGAAAACCTCCATGGGCAAAGAAATGATTGAAAGAAGGGGAAAAAGGCTAAAAGTGCAGATGGGGATTTGCCTAAAGGGAGCTGAGATGGGGAGGAGGATTGAGCCTTGGAGAGCCCCTTGGTACCTGCAGGGAGATTTTCCTTCTGAGTTCCTGGGATGGATCCCAAGGGAATGAGGTAATCCAGTGTCCCACGAGCAATTGTCCTCCTGGGCCATCCCTGTGGAAATGTGGCACTGCCTGAGGTTGGAAATGCAGGATGTGGCTGGGGTGTGGGTTCCACCCCCGTCTGTCAGAGCTGGGCAGCTCTCTCTGTCCATGGGGCAGTTTTCTTTAGCTCTCCCACAGCCAATCCTCCCTCCAGGAGATCTCTGCTGTTCATGGGCCATTGTATTTATTTATTTTAATTTTTCCTAACGAAAAACTGCAACTCCTGCTCCCATACCTTTGCCTGAGAGCCCCTTAATTTCCAAATTACAGTAATTCAGAGGGAGGTGGGGTTACATTTTCCATTTCAGGGGAGGCTCCTGCCTTCCTCCGCAGCCACCTGTCCTTTCAAACCAGGACAGCACCTGGGGACAGGGCTTGGACTGTTCTTGGAGGGATTTTCCAGCCTGATGATTCCCTGATGGTCCCTTCTGCAAAACCTGCAGGTTTGGGATGAGCTGGGATACAGCAGGGGAGAGCTGTGGCTGTGTCCCTGTTTTCCCAGGGTTTTCCAGGCTGGGCTGGCTCCTGGCAGGTGCTGGAAGCAGCAGTGTGGATTTTCCACCCTGGCCCTGCCGGGGCAGCAGAGCAGAAGGGACGGGCTGTGCCTGCCTGGCTGATAACGAGGAACAAACTCAATTAAGCACCACCAAAGCCCTCTGCTTGCCGTGGGACACTGAGTGCCTCAAACCACACCCAGCCCTTCAAACCATGGCAGTAATGGGATATTGCTGGGGGTTGGGTGGGTTTTTTGCTTTAATCCCATTTTTTTTTTGTTTTAAACCCCTTTCCTGGCCATCATTTTACACCTGATTTTTACTTGGAGATATGGGAACATCCCTGGTACAGCAGGTCCATCATAACCCGGCTTCCCAGAGGGGAATTTGGCCTCCAGTCTGCTCCAGGATGTGCCATTAATCCATAATTTATTGTTTGGGAGAGCCCAGATGTGAACACAGGAGCAGCCACTCCACAGCAATTTTGGCCAAGAGGTGCCAATTATTTCTTGGTACCATTTGAAAGAATTTTGGATCCCCAGATGGGAGAAAACTGCAGGACATCTTCAATGGGAAGGGAAAAAACAGTGCTAACAGTCTGTCTTTATTAGCAAAGAAAGATATTTTAGCTAAAGGCTTCCAACTTGAAAAAAGAAAAAGGAAAAAAAAAAAAAAGAAAATTCAACTGGAAGAGAGAAGTTACTGTTTTGAAAGAGTTCACTGGGTGGAGACATCAAACAGAAAGGATCTTGTGTAACTCTGCTTTTTTGGTCTAATGCTAAATTCACCCCTTTATTCCTTGGCTTTCCCACAGGGAGGAATGCTCAGGAAAAAGCTGATTTTTGGAGAGGCTGGAAGCATGTGGCATCTCCCAGGATCGGCCCCGGGCACTGCTGTCTCTCATTTTTGTCCAGACAGCTGATATTCCCGAGCTCTTCCCACCCTCCAAGTCCTCTGCAAGTGTTAAGTACTTTTTTGCATCCAGCACATGGAACAATAACAGAGGACTTAATTTTCCCATCTGTCAACTCATCCTGAACAAATTGTACGTCTTTCTCTTCGCAGTGAAATCTCAGCTAAATGAAAAGCTTTAGTGTTCATTTTCATGTAGCAGAGGTTCTGGAGGAAATTCTGTCATCACATTTCTGCCTGGGTTTTGTTTTATTTAATATTTTCTTTTTTGAACATGTTACCAGTGAGGGATGGTTTGTTTTTGGAACTTGGGTGGTGGCTCTGTCTGAGGTGTCCAGCTTTAAATTGTGCTGCTCCAAAGTAATGCTGAGCAGGTTGAAGCCAGAATTGTCATGGAATTCTGGAAGGATTTGGGCTGGAGGGACCTTAAATCCCATCCAGGTCCATGGGCAGGGACACCTCCCACTGTCCCAGGCTGCTCCAGCCTGGCCTTGGGCTCTTCCAGGGATCCAGGGGCAGCCACAGCTGCTCTGGGAATTCCATCCCAGCCCTCCCCACCCTCCCAGGGCACAATTCCTTCCCAAAATCCCATCCCTCCCTGCCCCCTGGCACTGGGAAGCCATTCCCTGTGTCCTGTCCCTCCAAGTCCCTCTCCTGGAGCAGCTTTGGAGCCTCCTTCTCTTCGCCAGGCTGAATTTTTGGGGCACAAACGCCGTGTGAAGGAAATCCGGGGTGAGGTTTTTTTGGAGGTATTCCTGTGCTGCTGCAGAGCCCAAGGGCCACGAGCCCTCGGGGACATCACAGGTGCCACCCTGCCCTGCTGAGGGCACAGCCAGGCCGGGGAGTGCTGCTCTCTTCTGCCTCTGACCCTGGGGCTGCAGCAGGGGCGTCCCAAGAGGGGTCTGGGGCGTCCCAAGAAGCGTTTTTGAGGGCACAGCCAGGCTGGGGAGTGCTGCTCCCTTCTGTCTCTGACCCCGGGGCTGCAGCAGGGGTGTCCCAAGAGGGGTCTGGGGCGTCCCAAGAGGAGTTTGGGGTGTCCCAAGAAGCGTTTTGGGCATCACAGGGCGCATTTTGGGTGGCATGAGAGGCGTTTTGGGTGTCCTGAGGGGCATTTTGGGTGGCACAAGAGGGGTTTGGGGTGTCCCAAGAGGGGTTTTGGGTGTTTTGGGCATCACAGGGCGCGTTTCGGGTGGCACGAGAGGGATTTTGGGTGTCCCAAGAGGGGATTTGGGTGTTTTGGGCATCACGGGGCGCATTTCGGGTGGCACGAGAGGGATTTTGGGTGTCCCAAGAGGGGATTTGGGTGTTTTGGGCATCACAGGGCGCATTTTGGGTGTCCCGAGGGGCGTTTTGGGTGTCCCAAGGGGCATTTTGGGTGGCACGAGGGGGTTTTGGGTATCCCAAGAGGGGTTTGGGGTATCCCAAGAGGGGTTTGGGGTGTCCCAAGAAGCATTTTGGGCATCACAGGGCGCATTTTAGGTGGCATGAGAGGCATTTTGGGTGGCACAAGAGGGGTTTGGGGTGTCCCAAGAAGCATTTTGGGCATCACAGGGTGCATTTCAGGTGGCACGAGAGGCATTTTGGGTGTCCCAAGGGGCATTTTGGGTGGCACAAGAGGGGTTTTAGGTGTCCCAGGGGCATTTTGGGTGCAGAAAACCCCCTTTTCTCTCAGTTTTTTTTTCTTTGCAGATGCTGTCTGTCCTCTCCTCCTGCTGTCCCAGCTTCGCCCAGCTGGCCGGCTCAGATAAGGGCTCCGGGGGCAGATAAGAACTTCGTTCTCCTCCCTCTTCTGGAGAGCAGCAAACGGTGGGGCTGAGCTTTCACAGCCCTTAAACACCCAGGAAAGTTAAACCAGTCCCACCCCCTGCCAGGCTCTGGGAAAAACATTTGTCAACGCAAATCCTTGGTGAGAGAAGTGAAATAATAACCAAAAAAAAGTTGGTTCCCTTCTCCTCTCAGCCCTGAGCCACCCTTGAGGTTCCAGGGTAGGGTTACCTGGAGCAAAACCCAGTTCTGTGATGTGGCAAAGACACACCCTGCAGGAGACAGGTTGGAATTTGGCTCTGGAGCCGTTTTCTTGGGAAAACAAAAGGGTTTCTGTGACAGTGCAGAGCAAGTGCCAGCTCCAGGCTATGAACTCCCTCCAGCCCCTGGTAAGTGCAGGATGTTCCTCACAAGGTCCCTCCAAGCCAGCAGCAGCTTTTCCCACCCTTCCCTTTGCTTGAGTGCAAGGTGGTGAAAAATCCCAGAAAACTGGGAGAATTTCGGGGCAAATCAATGACTTCTGCTCCTTGCCTGGTGCTTGTCCCTCAGCGAGGGGGGGGCATCATGGATGCAGCAGGAGGCAGGGGCAGGAATCCTGAGGAGCTGTGGGAAGTGCCCACACCGATGATGAAGTAGAAGAGTTCTTGGGCTGCCCTGGAGCAGAGGCTGGGCAGAGTTCCAGAATAAAGCAGGGGTTTATTTCTTTGTGCTCTTGGGCTGAGATTTGGATCGTTTGTCCTTGGTGCCCAGCTGGAGCAGGAATTGTTTTGTCTCCCTGCTCTGTGCACAGAGCTCACCGTCCCCAATGTGAAGCCCAGACCCACCCACTAAAGCAGCCCAGCACCTGAAAAATACAAAATTAAACGTGAGGCATCAGGAGGAGGGGCAGGGGCAGCTCCTGCCTGGCTCAGGGTGCTGGGAGCTGCTGGTGCCTCCAGCCAGGATCCAGGCAGGAGCTCTGGAGCAGATCTGGAGCAGATCAGGTGCAGGTATTTATTTTTGGCTGGCCGGTGCTGCAGCAGGGTCAGTGCTGATGTCAGGACAAGGGATGTTGTCTCCCCTGGTGGGGCCGAGGCTGAGCTCGCAGCGGTGTGAGGGAAGGGGCAGGAAAAGCTGCGGAGGGTTTGGGGCAGAGCTGCTCACAAAAGGCTCTTTGTGCCCGGAGCTGACAGGGACAAATAAAGAGGAACCTGTTGATCTAGGAGAGAAATGGAGGATTACGGAGAGATCACGTGGGGAGGAAAAGACTTTGGCTGTTTGTCTGGCTGTCAGTCTGGGCCGTCGTTAAGGCACTTCACTTAAATTAAATTAAAAAAAAAATAATGTACAAAAAACTCTTAAAACTTTAAAACTAGAAACTAAAACTTAAAGACAAAGTTTAATATAAAACCTTAAAACCACCTTCTAAACTTAAATATTAAAAAATATATATAAATTTATAATTTAAAATAAAACCATGTTAAGCTAAATTTAAAAAAATTAAATCTTAAAATATAAAAAATAACTACAAAAATAAAAATTAAAATACGATGATATATAAATATGATATATAAATATGATATATGATAGATATGATAAATATGATATATATATGATATATAAATATGATATATAGTATAAAATTACGTATAGAAATATGACATTAATGTATGTAAATAATATGCAATAATAATGTAATTTTAATAATAGTAATATGAAATATTATGTAATTATATAGGTATAAGTAAATATATATATTATATTTATACAATTTATGGATATAATTTATATATGTATTAAAATATAAAAATTATATCTATAATATATTTCTATAATATACTTATATAATTACCTATATAATAATATAAATATAAATAAATATACATATAATGGATTAAAATACAATAAATTTATATCTCATAACATAATTAAGTAAAAAACCTTGGACTATAACATAAATACAACACCCAAACGTAGCCTCCAACGTGCAGCTGGAGCTCCCGTGCTGTTTTCCCCAGCAGAGTGCTCTGCTCCGGGGCCCAGCCGGCCGGGAGGCGTCAGGAGCAGAATCCAAGATTGCAAACCCCTCTGAAGGCAGCAGCAAGGCTCAGCCCCGCCGCCTGCCCAGAAATCCAGGACACAAAGCAAGGCCGGTAACGCAACGCAGCCAAGTTCCTGGAAGGAGCCCAAAAGCCGTGCCTAATGCTAATAATAAGCGTATTTCCCAAAGGTAACATTTGATTTCCCTCCAAAATGAAACATATTTGAAGCTCTGCCTGGCTGGGGTTGTATAGGAGATCAACTGGGGCGCTTTAATGCGTGCCTGAGTTTGTAGAGCCTTCAGCCAGCTCTGGAGGAGCTTGCCTCCTGACAAGACCCAAAAACACTTCCCAGAGAATGTGGCGTTATCCACAGCAAGCCTGGAAAAATCCAGGGAAAGGCTTTGGGTTTGTGGCACGCACATCTGGCGAGCCGGAGCCCGGAGCGGCGAGCGCAGGGCACGCCGACCAGGAATGTTTGTGTGAGCATCGATGGGCCGCCCAAAACGACCTCCAGAGCCTGTGCAGAGCACCGAGGGCTTCCAAAAAATCCATCCCAGCCCATTACGTGCTGGAATGCATCCGAGTGCACCGGTGCCCGGAGACTCTGCTCAGGGAGACAGATGGAAACGGGTGGGATTTGGGATAAATCAGGGTTGTTGGCGGGAGGGGGATTTGGGATAAATCACAACAGAATGCTTTCCCCTGTTTTATTTCTTTATCTTGGTTTATTTACCTTGGTTTCTTTGTCTTGATTTCTTTATCTTTCCAGCTGGGGGAGGGCCCTGGCTGCCCCGTGAGCGTTTGCAATCAATGCAGATAATGCACTTGGAAGTGCTCTCTCCTTTACTGGTTTTCCGTAAACTGCTGGGCGCAGCTTCCCAGGGATAATGGCAGAGCTGTGCCTGTGCCAGCAAGGATTGACTTCCAAATGAAAAAGGAGAGTGCAGCTCCTTGGGATGGTTTGGTCTGGGAGCTGCCCCCCCGGGGTTCCACCTCTTCTTCCCGTGGAACAGAGCATTCCTCCCTTCCCTGGAGTTTATCCCAAAGACACAACGAACCCAAACATCCTCCTCCTTCTCCTCCTCCTGGAAGTGCCAGCTCAGGGAGGTCTGGAGTCCCCAGCCCTGGATGCTGAGCTTCCAGAATCCTGGGATGGTTTGGCTTGGAAGGCAGCTCAAAGCTCTCCTCGTCCTCCACATCGTCCCAGGTGTCCAAGGAATTCTGGATGTGGCACTCAGGTGACAAGGTGGGGATGGGGCACAGCCTGGACCCCGTGACCTCGGAGGGCTTTTCCAACCCCAGGGATTCTGGAATTCCTGCTCACCAACCAGAGCCTTTTTCCAAGCACTGCTCTTCCCTCCCCCTTTGCCATCCTGGTTTTCCACCCTGGTAGTGGGTGATACATTCCCAGAAAAGCTGGATTAGGCCTAGCTTCCAATTAGCCTCATTAAAAGTATAAAATAATAATGCATCATTAAAAGTGTAAACTAATAATTCCTCGTTCCAAGTTGGTTTGCCATGGACAGCCCTGCCAGGGATTTAGTGCATGGTACTGGAGTGGGGGCTCAGCTTTTCTTTTAAAGCTATTTTTTTAACTGGAGGCAGCTCCATTTGTGTGATTTGGGAGGGCAATTTTTGGGACTCAATGACCTTGGAGGGTTTTTTGAACCTCAGGGATTCTGGAATTCCTGCTCACCAACCAGATCCTTTTTCCAAGCACTGCTCTTCCTTCCCCCTTTGCCATCCTGATTTTTCACCCTGGTTGTGGTGGATTAGGTTTAGGGTCCAATTAACTAGTTTAAAATAGGGCCAATTAATTAGTTTAAAATTATAAGCTAACAATTCCTCATTAAAAATACAAACAAATAGTTCCTCATTCACAATATAAATTAATAATTCCTCGTTCCAAGTTGGTTTTCCATGGACAGCCCCACCAGGGATTTAGTGCCTGATACTGGAGCTGGGGTTCAGCTTTTTTTTAAATACTATTTTTTAAATTGGAGGCAGCTCTATTTATCCATGCTTTGGGAGAGTAATTTAATGGGTAAATATAATCTTTATTAATATTTTCTTTGTTAACTCATTGATGTTGGTAAAGAGCTTTGAAGATGAAAGCGCTGCGTGCAATAAATATTAACGTTATTCCAACTTATTTGAATGTTGCCAGCATTCCAGCTCCAACATCTTTCATCCAAGAATCTCAAAGTGCTTTTCCAAATGTTAATTAATTTCCACTCAGCAGTCCAGGGAGACACCTTTTATCAGCAGCATCTCCCTTTCCCCGAGGAGTTGTTCCGAGCGCGTTTTACCCCACGGATTTGGGCAAACGCAGGGAATGTGGCAGGAGATTTTTGGGATTGATCCAAGAATTCCAGGCTCCCGTTTTCCCAGCCCTGCTGCCTGACAGCATTCCCTTCCTGGGAGTGGGGTGTGACACTCAGCTGCTTTTATTGGTGGCTCTTGAAAGGAAAAAAAAAACCAGACAAGGATCACAAACCCCACCCAGGGCAGGGGAGGAAATGAAACTCTTCCAGATCAGGATGATCCCAGTCAGGAATCCAGGAATTCTTCAGGATTTTTGATGGGAAGGAGGAAACAATGGGATCTTGAGTCAGAACCTCGTAGTTCTTGTTTCAAAGACCATTATAATGGAAATGTTTTCTGAAATGCAGCACAGGGGAAGATCTGAGCTGAAGGAAATTAAACTCTTCCAAATCAGGATGCTCACAGCCAGGAATCCATGAATTTTCAGGATTTTTTATCTGCCGGATGAAATCTTGGTGGGATGTTGAGTCAGGATCTTGGAATTCTTATTTGAAAGGCCACTAAAACGGAAATATTTTCTCAGGTGAAGATCTGAGCTGAAGGAAATGGAACTCTTCCAAATCAGGATGATCCCAGTAAGGGATCCACCAATTTCCAGGATTTTAATGTTTCATTTTTTGATTTTTCAGGAGGAAATCTTGATGGGACGTCGAGTCAGGACCTCGTAGTTCTTATTTGAAGGACCATTAAAATGGAAATATTTTCTGAAATGCAGCACAGGCGAGGATCTGAGCTGCAGAGAAAATGCTGCAGGTGAAACTTCTCCTGAAAAACCCTCCCCAGTCCAGAGGTGAGTGAGTGATGAGCCAAAAAAAGAGGATTTCGAGACAACGTGACTCCAGCAGGCCATGAGAACAATGAGAAGTTCAAAAATAGCACTATTGACTGCTGGAAAAACAACATACATATAATTTTCAGGTAATTACTGCAGCATAATTAGCTGGGTTGTTTTCACATGAGCCATCTGAAATGAACTCTGCTTGCTGCTGGAGCTCAGCTTTATTTGCAGCATTCCCATGACTCAGGGGATGCTGGAAGAAGAGGGATTGGGTGAAAAATGAAGATTTTTTTTCTTTTTTTTTTTTTTTCCTAGCTGAGCCCATCTCAGGGCACAGCCTGGCTACTGCTGATTTATCCTGAGTTTTTTTGCTTTTTAGGAAAAAAAAAAAAAAAAAGGGAATTTCTTTTCCTAGCTGAGCCCACCTCGGGGCACAGCCTGGCTACTGCTGATTTATCCTGAGTTATTCTGCTTTTTAGGAAAAAAAAAAAAAAAAAAAGGAATTTGGAGCAAAATCTACTCTGTAGGAATTCCATGTGTGGTCCACAGTGGGAATTATAGGACAGGAAAGAGACTCAGATTGGAACAGGCCTTTTTCTAGATCACTCTCAGGGAAAAATGATTATAAATTCAGATTATATGAAAGTATCAGTATTTTACCTGCAGTGTGTGAGTGGAGGGATGGGGGAACATCTGAAGCACTCACTCTCCAAGTTCTGGAAAATGTGAATTATTTTTATTTCTTTGTTTTATTGCCACAGGCTTTGCTTATTAAGAATCATTTACTATCTGTGGAAACAACTTCTGACTTAAGCACTGGGGCCTTAAAAAATCACTTTGAATTGGAATGAGAGAGTTCCTCCCAGTGAAAACCCTGGGTTTGTTGATGCTGGAAGTGTGGAGAGTGCAATTAAAAGCTTCCCTCACCTCTGTGATGATATTTTGGAAATAAATGCAGCTTTCTGGAGTTCTTCTCCTCAGGTTTGAATAGTTTTTGGCCAATTTGAAGCTTCTGAAGGAACTGATGTTTTAAGTCTTGCCTGGCTTTGAATTTCTCAGCTCCCCGGGACCTGCTGTGGTTGCTTTTTACTTTTTCTTCTTGTGCTGCATCCACAAATTATGAAAATGGGTGCTAATGACCAAAAAAAAGAAAAAAAATCCCAATCGTGATTCATGGAAATGGAATTTTGTTGACAAAAAAAAGGGGATTTAACTTGGCCAAAGGAAATGCTTTTCCAACTGGAGATGAATATCTCAGGAATGACCATTTCTTCTCAGAGACAGAACCGTTCCAGTTTTAATTTCAGAAAAAATAAAATAAATAGAATAATTCAAATAAAAGCCTGGAGAAAAGCAAGCAGATCCACCCAACAGGGGCAGTTTTTCCAGGGAAAGAAGTCCCAGGAGTGAATTTGAGGTGAGTAAAAGGAAGGTGAGGAGGATGCTGGGGCAGGAAACGCTGTCACCTCCCCTGGGCTGGCCACACCTCGTCCCAGTATGGACCAGCAGCTCCCAGAATCCTGGGATGCTTCGGCCTGGGAGGCACCTCAGAGCTCTCCTCCTCCTCCTCGTCATCCCAGCTGCCCCCAGATCTGCTCCCGAGGACCCCAGGTGTCCCCAAACCCTGCCTAGGTGTCCCTTAGGTCCCCTCAACCCCGTCCCCAATGTCCCCAGGTGTCCCCAGCCCTGCTCCTGGTGTCCCCAGGTTTCCCCAGGGCTGGTTTTGATAGTCCAGGTGTCCCCAATCCTGTCCCCGGAGTGTCCTCACGTGCCCCAGGTCTTGGTCTTGGTGTCCCTTAGACCCCCTCAACCCCATCCCCAATGTCCCCAGGTGTCCTCAACCCTGGTCCTGGTGTCCCTAACCCTGTCCCCGATGTCCCCAGGTGTCCCCACTGCTGTCTACAATGTCCCCAGCCCTGTCCAGGCCCTGTTCCTGGTGACCCCAGGTGTCCCCAGTCCTGGTCCCGGTGTCTCTGGGTGTCCCCAACATTCCCAGGTGTCCCTCACCCTGTTCCCGATGTCCTCAGGTGTCCCCAGTGCTGTCCCAAGTATCCCCAGGTGTCCCCAAATCCTGTCCAGGTGTCCCCAACCCTGTCCCCAGGTGTCCCCCCCCATCTGCGGGCAGGTGGCCCACACCAGTACAGACATGGACTGGGGGATACTGGGAGCCCCTCCCACCCCAGGATCATCCTGAGAATGCAAATCCTGGGCACAAATCCTGGGCAAGAAGGGGCTGGTTGTGGTGGCCATGGCCATTGTCCTGCAGCTGCAGGGCCTTGTGGGGCTGGGGAGTGACAGGGGCCGGGCTGGGAATTCTGTCACTCTGGGCTGGGAATACCGCTGGGAATAGGGACTGGGAATTCTGTGATTCCAGGCTGGGAATTTTGTCATTCTGGGCTGGGAATACAGCTGGGAATTCTGTCACTCCAGGCTGGGAATAAGGGCTTGGAAATCTGTTACTCCAAAGTGGGAATTCTGTCACTCTAGGCTGGGAATACAGCTGGGAATTCTGTCACTCCAGGCTGGGAATAAGGGCTGGGAATTTTGTCATTCCAGACTGGAAATAAGGGCTTGTAATTCTGTCACTCCAAACTGGGAATTCTGTCATTCTAGGCTGGGAATAAGGGCTGGGAATTCTGTCACTCCAAACTGGGAATACGGCTGGGAATTCTGTCACTCCAGGCCAGGAGTACAGCCGGGCTCTGCAGGGCAGCCCCAGAGCGAGGTGAGAAACGTGAATTGCTGTCGAGGTTTGCGGACACGGCAGCGAGGCAGAGTGTGGGCAGAGGCAGGGCGGCCTGTGAACTCCAGCGTGTGAGCACGGCCTGGATGTCAGAGGAGGGAAAGAACCGGGAAATGAGGGATGTGTCACACCGCCACCTCATTAACAATTCCAGAAACTCATTTGCATGCGCTTCCCATAGTGCCGCTGCTGGGGTGACGCTCCCCAAATGCTCCAGGATCGCTCCCTAAATTCAGATTTGAACTCCCCCCTCTGGCAGTTTTTCAGCACAGTTTCTTTTCTCAGCAGCAGCCCTGGTTTGGGCCCAGCCTGGGAGAGGATGGAAACACAATATGATATAATTTGGTCTGATATTGCTCTTGGATGTGGATTTTGGGGAGGCGTTCGTGCCAGCCCGCTCCACATCAAGCTCAGCACAAGGAGCCACGTGTGTTGTTATAAAGTTAAAAATGGGTTTATTTTATCAGATATTGGCTATTCCATTGTCTTCTCGTGCAGCCAAGTAGTTTTCACTAAAATATTCCTCTTTCTGTCCCTCAGGAAAGGGTATTTCACGCACTTCATGCCTGCAACAACCTCAGCAATAAAGGGATTTTAAGGGCTTGGTTGTGTTTTCTATCAAGAAATAGTAACTGAGAGTCTCTCATTAAATCAGTTTTATTCAGGCTCAGAAATGCTCTTATATTACTTTTAAGCAAAGAGTAAATTTGCATTATTAGGCAAAGAGGGAATTCGTGGATACTCAGACTAATGAAAACAATATGTTCACAGAAAAAAAATGCATATCTTTAAAAAATATTATTGTGTCTGAACACGGCTTTGAGCATGTGAGTTATGTGACACGATACATTTTTTTGGGAAGTTACAGAAGAGGAAAAGAAAAGAAATGGGGGGGTAGGAGACAGATTCTCAAATAATTTATTTTACTGCGATATGGCCAAAAGGGGGAAATGCAACTTTGGAAAACTGGGAATTGAAAATATCAAAATTTTGCAAGGTTGAGGGAAATCTTGATCTTTCGTTTTCTCTCCCCACAGAGATTAAAAATCAAAAAAACACCATAGCTTTAGCTCAGAAGGAGGACAACTGGAGGATTGTTTTGGGGCTGTTCTCCCCTACTCCAGTTGCATCCCAGTATTTTCTTTTGGAAACGGAGAGAGAATGAAAGATTTAATTTTTGGACAATCTGAGTGCTGCCATCACTGCCACAGCTGGAGCCACTGAGAGCACCTCTGGAAATGACTGCGTGTTGACAAAGGCTTTTTTTGGCAATAAACCATCATCTGAGCCTCGGGAGCAGAGAGGAACAAAATTTCACTACATGTAAATAATAGCCTAAAAATAGAACTGCAGATTGTTTTTCTCATTAAGTTTCTTCTCCAGCCTCCAGTATATTCTGCACTGAAAAGGGAGTGACTATCAAAAAGCCTAAACTGAAAAAAACAAAAAAAAAAATGAAGAGCCTGGGTGAGGTTTGGCTGGAAAAAAACACTGGCAGGACCATTTTAAACCTGATTTTCTGTATCCCCTTTTTTAGTTTCCTTCCTTATTTTAATGCAGCCGAAGCCATTCTGGGGCTGTTTTATTTAAAGCAAGTTTTGAGAGAGGACGCTGTGGTTTATGGCCACGTGTCAAGTTTGATAGTGTTGTGCCATGATTTAGCAAAACACTTGAAGCACATGTCCACATCCCACTGAATTTGGTAGGAAGTGAAGAAGCAGAGGAAAAGCTAGTTTGGCTGTGCAGCAGCCTCATTCAGGGGGGAAAAAATACAAAAGTAATTGGAATAAACCAAGGATTTGTCCCCGCACAATTACAGAGCTTTGAGGCCAAATTCCTTCAGCTTGCTGTGAACTCATTGATCATATCAGCTCAGGATTATGACTCGTGTTTAATAATTTCAAACGAAAGGGTTCTGCACTGGGCTGCCTCAGACCACTGAAATAGACGGGCTAATTCTGGGAGCCGTGGGCGTGCTGGAGTCATCTGACTTTTATTTTTTTTTAGTTATCTCACCCTGCCCCCTCCCCAAACCAGCCTTTCAGACAGCGAGAGAAATCTTCATCACACGCAGTGCTGCTCATCAGCCTCCTCTAATTGCTGCTCATTTTCCGAGCGCTTCGTTTGAACGCGGCAGAGCTCCAGGAGAAGAGCGGGCATCGATGGAATTGGGATGAGGGGTGAAGGAAGAGGGGTGTCAGCCAGGAGTTTCCTGCCAGGCTGGAGAAGATTTCTGGGTGAAACGGTGGGAAGTGAAAAGTTTGGAAAGAGATATGAGTGCTCAGTGCATCAGACTTCATTATATCCTTACCACAAACAGGATGCCATCAAAAATCTGCTTATTAAACACATAATTTATATATATGTTCACATACTTATTTATACATGTTCATATAATTAATATATGTTCCTTTTCTAGGTTAAGTATTGTGACCACCTTGGTTAAAATCCATACAATTTTGTCCAGGATTGATGGAATGTGACACATCCTGATACCATTCCATTGTCATCCCTACTCACTAAGAGCTGTTTTTCTAGGACTTCATATAAATAATCTTACCAATAAACAGCATTGTATCAAGTTGTATCAAAAAGCTCCTTAACACCTCTCTCCCATTCTTCCCTTAACACAAACTACTTAATTTTAAATAATGGGTAACCCTCTGAGTCAAATGTTTTAACTTTAAATTCTGTAACTGCCACTCGTGGTTATCTTACCCCAGGTTCCCTGCACGCCTCGTTTGAATCTGCAGAGTTGAGACATTAAAGCTTTATTTTCTTTTCAGTGCCCAGAATCTAAGTGCTTTCTGAATGTAGGATGATGGATTTTATGGCAGCTGTGGAAAACCGGGAAATTTTGTCTTCTTTGTTCTGTTCTGTGCATTAAGGTGAAGGCCAAGGAGAGAAATTGTCATGGTGATCTATATTTACGGAATAACACATAGGTAGAAAAAAGCTGAATGAAGCTACAGTGACCTACACACCAAATTCACAACTGATGCCATCATCTCGCCAGGCAGAATTTTGGTAGGTATTTCCCCGTCTGTACTACCTGGCTTGCTGTTGAAGAACACAAATTTCACCCAAAATTGACACGAAATGAGCGTGTTTGGATCCCCACTCTCTGCTCTTTGGGACTCCTAAAACACCTGTAGTGCTGTTCATCGGGAACAGGAAAACCCGGGAGAGCTCACGGTGATTGCTGAACTTCTCCGCACTAGCCCAGGAAAACAAAACTCATAATTCCCCAAAATAAAACTCATCATTTCCCGCTTGGTGCAGACCAGAAGCCGGAGGTTCCGCCGGCGCCCGCTGAGGTAGCACGGCCCCATCCCGTTCCACTCCTAAAGATCTTAAACCCGCGGATTAAGTAGCAGGACGCGGAGCCGCAAAATCCCATTTTAATCAATTTATTTATTACTGCAGGAAGGCGCATCCACCGCTCCCCTGTGGCGATCCGAGGCGCTGAGGGGAGCCGGGGCGCCCGGAGGGACCCGCGCCCCTCACGGAGCGCGCAGCGGGGCCGGCAGCACCGCGGGGGCCGCTCCGCGCACGGCGAAACTTTACGGGCAGGGCGGCGGCCACACGGCGTCCCCGAAACCGCAGCGAGAGCCCGGTGGGTGCGGCGGCCCCGGGCCGAGGGCTCGGAGCGGCGGGGACGGCCCGGCCGAGGAGGCACAAAATGGCGCCGCGATTCAAACGCTGCGCGCTGCGGGCGGGCGGGGCGGCGGGGGGGGGCGGTGTCCCGGCGGGGTTCACTGCGCCTGCGCGCAGAGTCGCAAGATGGCGGACAGTGCGGAACTAAAGGTAAAGCGCAGCTCCGGGTCCCCCCGCGGCGCCGCCGGGGCCGCGGCCGAGACCGGCCCGGGGCGAGACGAGCCCCGCCGGGGCGGCCGCGGCAGAGACGGAGCCCCGGGCGCCCCGCGAAGTTTGCAGGGGAGTCCGGCGGGAGCGACCCCCGGCAGCGGCGGTGACAGCGGGGGGAGCGCGCCGGGGAGGCCGGCTCGCCGCCCCTCCGGTAAATAAAGAACGTCACAAGCAGATGTGGAGGAGTTCCGCGGTGTTGAGCTGGCGGCGGTCCCTGTCATCCTGCGGAACGCATGGAAACGGGGCGCTCCGAGCCGCCCCGCAGCCGGGCCGGCGCTGCCCGGGCGAGGGTCGCTGCGTTTGGGGCGTTTTTGGAGGATTTTGGGGTGGGGGGGTTTGGGCGCTCACCCGGGGGGGGGGCAGGAGCGGGAGGAGCTCTGCCGAACGCGGAACTTCGGGTTTCCTAAGGCGCAGAAGAATCAGCAGTTTTGAGGAAGAGCAGCCGCAGGATAGAGGGTGGTAAGCATCCGCCCAAAAATCCCAGGAAAAGACCCCCCCCCCCCCCCCACCCCCCCCCCCCCCCCCGAAACTTTGCGGGCGCTTTGAGGCCGTGTGTGGGTGCAGACTGTGCCCTGCACACCCTGCAGGGTGTTAAAAGTTCCAGAGTTTGCTCGCAGTTGTCACAGGGTCGTTATTCACCAGGAGGGCTCCTGCCTCTTAAAGTTCTCAGAGCGAGCGGGCACGGATCAGGTGGATGTGAAATGTGTATGGGCACGGGCGCGTGAAATGTGTAAGATAAACTATGGGATATGTCAAGTATGACTAAGGAAATATTCTGTCTTTCCCCTGAGGTTTGGTAGATCTCGGTTTTCTGTGTATCAAAGGTACCGTGCGCTTTCATTTTTAGATGCTTAAGGAGCTGTCAGCCGGTGAAGAAATACCAAATCTTGGGTGTGTTCTGGCTTGTGTGGGTCAGGAGCCTTCAGATCCTCCTTTAAATCCTCCTCTGGCCTTCGTTTTTCTGGGTGTCTTCAGACCACATTGTATTGCTTGAGCTGTGTAGTCCTTAAGCCTTTTTTCTTTTCAAGCTCTGCTTCCCACACAACGAGATCAAAGGGTTAAGATGCGATTCCGGTGCTCAAGTTTTTGTTAATTTTAGCGTGGCAAATGGAATAGTGTGTTCTGGTAAGTAACTGCGAGAGTTTCGTGGTGCACAGCAGCCAGCTTGGCTTTATGTGATGCCTTTATTAGCAAGAGGGACTCAAAAGGAGTTCAGAGAGATGGGAGACAGGGAATAAAGTCATTCCAAACCCTTCACTGATCACTGTTCGAAATCTCCTTCTTGAGAACCAGTAGAGAAAAATCAGAGTTTTTTGAATTTATATTTCCTAAAGTGCCCTTGCTGCCTCAGTGATGTGGAGGGTAAATGCCAAAGTCACTGTTTCATTCTCAATTTCAGTTTTCTGCTCAGGTTATGACTGGAGTGGTGCTTGCAGGCAGGGACTGGAGGATGGCACTCTGTGAAAAGTTGGGCTTTTTTCTGTAGCGATGGGAGCTTGGCAGTTTGCTTAACAAAAAATTAATTACTTCATAAATTCTGGAAGACTTCAGGACGTTCTGATTTTTTTTTTTTTTTTTGTCTTTAGGCTTAACAAAAAATTAATTACTTCATAAATTCTGGAAGACCTCAGGACGTTCTGATTTATTTTTTTTTTTTGTCTTTAGTACAGAATTAAGAAGGTGCATGGGTGGGTCCTGCTCTGTCAAGAAGGAGAGGGGGCACAAAATCTCCTGCTTGGGCTTGGAGCTGTCACCCTGCAGCTCTCCAGGCTCTCAGGTGCTGCAGGAGCTGAGTGCTCCTCAGAAAAATGTGGAAAGCTCTGGCATCGTGGCTGGGGACACTGGCTATTTTTTAGCAGGAGTAAATCCCCAGAAAATGTGCTTTTAAGTTCTTTTTTTTGGGAGTTGAAAGGTAGCTGAGGGAGGGTTTGTGATTAAGACTCTGCTCTTTGAAGAATGACCAGTGAATTCCTCAATTCCTTTAATTATTTTCTTAGGTAAAACCTTGTACTCCTCTGATTAATTAGCAAATGGGATTGATTTCAGATTTAGTGACCTTTAAAAACTAAAATCAACTGTAATACTTGGGCAGGGACTCTTGCCTGGCCAGAAGAAGTTTGTCAGAAAAACTTACTCAAGTTTCTAAAACTTTGTTGCCTTCCCTTGCAGAGAACCCTGGGGCTATGTGTGGGGAGTGCCACATGTGGAAATTGGGGAATGTGATATGATGGGTGCTATTGCCAAAGGAAAATTAAAGTTCTTGCTCTCTCCAGAAAAGCAGTGGTCAGTCTGACTTGCCACAATTTTTCATGGAGTTTTAATCATGAAATTGCCTTTCCTGTAATGTATTTTTTTCCCACAAGCGAGAGCCTTTCAGCATTTTTTGCCCCCATTTGGGATTGTTTGTTCTGTGGGGGGGGAAAAAATAATCAGATAAGATGAAACATAATTTTGCAGATCCCAGCCTGGTGAGGTTCCTGAATTCCTGGGTACTCGGGAAGGTTGGGATAAATGGAAGCAGTATGTTTCCCTTTCTGCTGCTGAAATAAGGTAACTGCAAAGTTTGTTCTTCTGCAGACTTCTCCCTCACTCCATAGGCTGAGGCATATGTGAATTTTCCTGATCTTAATTACTATTCCTGTCTAATTGCACCCAGACTCTAATTTATCTCAAGGTAAGCTATTTAAAGCTCTTTCTAATTGGAAGGAGTATACTTGAGTGATTAAATCTTTCCTTTAATATTTCTTACATCTCTTTAAATTGGTTATTAGATTGTTGTGATCTTTGCCTTCCACTCCAGCATTTTGGAAATCATTACACAGTTTGCAATAATCAATTCAATTAACCACGGATCAAAGAATGAAAAAGAAAAGCTTATGTTCAAGTATTGTCATTCTTGATACTGTCCTAAGAAGCTGGTTTGGAAAGCACATGCTGGGAGGTTTTCTCCTTTGTTCTCTCTCCTTTTAAGAAAGTGCCTTTGGGGATTGAAGAGATCCCTGGTGTGTTTCTTGTTAGACATAATTTATACTTTAAAAAAAAGTGAGCCAAGAGTTTGAATGAAAATTCATCACAGCATTTCCACACAATGGTGAGGAACACAAACCTCTTAGAAATATTCTCAGCTGGGAAATACCCCTCCCTGAAATCCAGGGAGGCACTTTTGGGATAACAGTGACAAATGGACCTGTGGCGTTGCATCCCTAATTTTAATAAACATCATCTACCTGTTTCGGTGTTCAATTAGAATTTTACACTTCTGCATTACGAGCTCTTCCTGTTTAATCCTTTTATAAGTTGCTGTGGCTGTGTGTTGCTGAGATTAAAGTAAATATAATCTACTTTTCATTGTTATCTGAGCCCGTGGATTATGTTTGTTCGTGCTCTAATTTGGTGTCTGCCAGCAGAATTGTATTTTGCACTGATTTTTGGGCTGGGTATCTTTTTTTTTGAGCTTTAGGTCATCAGCACTGGGGTTGCAGATATCAGAGGGATAAAACTGGCAGCTGAACTGTCCAAGCCTCAACCCATAACCCTTTTTTATTGCCAAGAAACCCCAGATTGTTGCGTGCACATAAATACAGTGCCAGAGAACTTTGGGTAAACCTTCCCCGTCCTGGGAGGATCTGTGGGTCTCTGCAAGTCAAATTCACTTCAGGAGGAAGCACCAGCCTTTCGTGGTAGTTACTTTTAATGGATTTACAGATGATTTTTCTTTTGGTTATAAAGATACTTAGAAATCCCAGTTAGAAGCAGGTAGGAGGTGCACCTTATTCAGCTTTACTGCACGAGAAAAACGTTCCTGCAGGGAGGAGAAGTGCTCAGGACTGCCTGGTAAGAATATTCATGGATCAGGCACACAAGAGAAACAGTTAACAACATCCCATGGAGCAGGGTGTGGGGAGCTCGGATACCTCTGATATTGGAGTTATTTATAGGGATGGAGCCTCTGAGTGCTGTGGTTTATACCCTGCCCTGCATCCAGCAGAGCCCAGGGAGGGCAGGCTTGTCCCTAATGCGTTTGGCACGGTGGGATGGAGTTCCTGGAATCTCTTCTCGGGGAAATCAGCCTCTCGTCAGTTCTCTCTTCAGTGCCATTAGAGTGAAAACCAAACCAGAGCTTCAGGCACTTGAGGCTGGAGTGCTCCCTGTAATTGTTCTGAGATAGCCCCAGCCCTGTCCTTTCTCTGGATCATCTCCTGGAAACCCTGTTTGTCCTAAAGCTCGGGGTGAGGTGGGGACTGACCCTTTAGAGCATCTCCTGGATTTCTTGTTTGTCCTAAAGCTCGGGGCGAGGTGGGGTCTGACCCTTTAGAGCATCTCCTGGATTTCTTGTTTGTCCTAAAGCTCGGGGCGAGGTGGGGTCTGACCCTTTAGAGCATCTCCTGGATTTCTTGTTTGTCCTAAAGCTCGGGGCGAGGTGGGGTCTGACCCTTTAGAGCATCTCCTGGATTTCTTGTTTGTCCTAAAGCTCGGGGCGAGGTGGGGTCTGACCCTTTAGAGCATCTCCTGGATTTCTTGTTTGTCCTAAAGCTCGGGGCGAGGTGGGGTCTGACCCTTTAGAGCATCTCCTGGATTTCTTGTTTGTCCTAAAGCTCGGGGCGAGGTGGGGTCTGACCCTTTAGAGCATCTCCTGGATTTCTTGTTTGTCCTAAAGCTCGGGGCGAGGTGGGGTCTGACCCTTTAGAGCATCTCCTGGATTTCTTGTTTGTCCTAAAGCTCGGGGCGAGGTGGGGTCTGACCCTTTAGAGCATCTCCTGGATTTCTTGTTTGTCCTAAAGCTCGGGGCGAGGTGGGGTCTGACCCTTTAGAGCATCTCCTGGATTTCTTGTTTGTCCTAAAGCTCGGGGCGAGGTGGGGTCTGACCCTTTAGAGCATCTCCTGGATTTCTTGTTTGTCCTAAAGCTCGGGGCGAGGTGGGGTCTGACCCTTTAGAGCAT